CCAAGGCACAGCCTGTAAAGATCTGAGGAAAACTATATGGAGGATCCTGTAGCTATAAAACAACCCACACTTCAGTTACAGAGTAAGATCAGTCAGTTGCTTACTGGATCAAAAGATCACAAAGGCACAACTAACCTCAGTGGTAAATTCTTGCCTTAATGTAGCTGCTCTTAAAAGGAGAAAGAAACCAGAAATATCAAATAGCAGAGGTCTTGAAATGTCATTGTCAGCTGCTGGAAAGTTAATTGTTAGCTTCTCCCCATCAACTCCGCCTCCAAGGGCTGATAGGACTGAATGGAGAAAAAGGACAAAAGCAGCTGCTACTGATGTAGCATTTGTGCTTTTATGTGACTGAGGATGAAGAAAAAGTAATTCCATCAATACCTGTTCTAAATACCAAAGATTATTTTGCAACAGTAATAGAAATGCAGAATACATATACCATGCCTGAACTTAATGATAGAAGACATTAAGAGACTCAGATAAATCTAGTTAGTCTAAACTGTGGCATCCCTCCTGAAGGAGGGCCATGCCGCGGAAGCACCGTTTCTTGAAACCTGCACCAAAAACCAGCAAGGAAACAGTGGAAGCTTTAAACTGGAGCCTCTCGGTGAGAACCACTGCAGCTTCAAAAGTAACGCTGCCTTCCTGACGCTCTGCTGCGTTCCTCCCCCGGCGGCTGGAAGCATTAATGAGACGCCAAGGAGAGGAGTGGTGCCGAGCGCCAGCTCCCCTGTGGCCGCGCGGGCTCCCGGCGCACCCGGCCGGAGGAGCGGCGATGCCAGCGCCGGTGCCCGCTCCGCGGCGCGGCCGTGCCCGCCTCCCTCCCCGCCCGCCTGCCTTCCTGCGCTGCCGCAGCGACCCGCCGGCGGGAGCACCCACCTGCAGTCCTTCAGCCATATCGCGATCTTCTCGTTGGGAACGCTGTGGCAGCCTTAGGGCAGAGCGGGAGAGAGAAGCCGACAGTCAGCAACAGCGAGGCCGTCCCGCGGGGTCCCGGTGACCCTCGGGCTGCCGCCCCCGGCACTGACCTGCTCCAGCGGCCAGCGGCAGCTCGCCGCCGCCGGGATCCTCCTCCTCCTCCTCTTCCTCCTCTTCTTCTTCCTCCTCCTCCTCCTCCTCGCCGCGGGCCAGCGCCGCTGCCGCGAAATCCTCCGCTTCCGACGCCTGCCAGGAGTCGCGGCTCTTGGCCCAGGCCTTCCTCTTCTGGGTCGCCCCTTGCCACTCCTCCGCCGCCGGGGGCTGCTCCATCGGGGCGGCGGCGCCGGCGGGGGCTTCACGCCGGGAGGCGAGCTCCGGACAGAGCCAGCCTGCCGGGAGAGCGGAGATGTCCCGTCCGTCCGGCTGTCCGTCCGCCCGTCCGGGGGCCGCGGGGCCGCCGCCCGCGCAGCCCCCGGGAGCGCGGCCGCCCCTCCCCGCGCTCACACGCTGCCCCGGCCCGCCCCAGCCCCGGCCACCGCCGCCCCCCGACTGCTCCCGACCCCGCAGGTGTCCGCCCCGGCCCGCCGGCGTCCGGGGGCAGCGGGCGGGCAGAGCTGGGGCGGGCAGAGCTCGGGCGGCCCGGCTGCCCGCGGTACTCACATGTCGCGCCGCGGCGAGGCGGTGGTGGAGGCTGCGCCCGCCCGGGCTGCGGGCGGCGGCGGCGGCGGCTCTGACTTCCTCATACCGCTGCGGGATGAGAAAACTCGGCGGCCACGTGACGGCGGCGGGGCCGGCGGCAGAGCGGGGCCTCCCGCCGGGGCCGGGCCGCCGTCACGGGCAGGGATGCGGGGCAGGGATGCGGGGTCGGGCAGCGCGGTCCTTCGGGCCTGGGCTGGCTCGGAACGGCCGCCCGTGGCCTAGGCCCGGAAAGAACGTTTCCAAACTGAAAACGATGCAGAACGTCGAAGAGGGACTTTGCAAGGTTTTATCCTGGGGAGGGGAGAGTAGGCACAAGGAAAAGATACAGGATGTGTGCTGGGTACACGCAGCCCTCGGCCTCGCTTCCAGAGTGTGAAATTAGATCAGCTTCTGTTCGGGCACAGGCTGGGGAGTGCAGGGACACCAGGAGCACCAAAACTGACCTCTTGAAAATCTTAGCTTTATCATCTCCTTCAGGATGTACTTAGGCCACCAGAATCAACTGATAAACCCAGCAAAAGACGAACGAATCCCCATATATGGGAAGGAGGTGCCAACAAAAGGCTGCTTTCACTGTGGGGGCCGAGGGCCATTTCTTAAACTCTGTCTCCTGCTTGGGGAGGAGACAGCAGCCTGACAGCAGCCCTGGCTGGGTCAGTCAGTGAGGACACGATGGGGCAGCTGGTGCCCACCCTGGCTGGGTCAGTCACTGGGGGCACAATGGACCTGCTGGTGCTCACCCTGGATGGGGAGCAGGGCACTCCCGTTCTGCGTGGGGTCAGACTTCGCATCACAGACACTGATGGAGGAGCCCTGCATGCCTAGAGAGCTCACCTGCACCCATGGAGCCTGGGAGAAATAAGCTTTTGAAAAAGGTCTTTTACAACATTTTCATTAAAAGATGCTGAATTAGTAACACAAGCAGCAAAATTCACACATGTTTTCTGGAGTTGTAAAACCGGGGTTGACAGCCAGGCATATGACGTACTTCATGTTTAAAGGCAAATCTGCCTTTGGAAGAAAAAAATTAATGGTACCAAATCAATATTCTTTCATTATCTAATTTTATAGTTAAAATCTTTCAAGAAATTTCTTGCTTTTCCTAAACCCCTCTAGCCGACCCACTACTTTATGCATATACAGCCTTAGTAAATTTCCTCTCACCACAAGTCAATTTCCTAAACACACTCTAATTTTCTGAATGGTTTGTCTTGAAATAAAACCAGAAGAGCAGTCGCACAAAGGACAAACAAAGTGTATTTGTATTTAATTTGACCCTGAAAGTACATATAATTTCTGTGTATGTTTTGAGATGGTATTTTTGAATTTCTTAAAAAAAGAGCAAACTACATTTGAATCTTTCTCGTTGATCCTCAAAATAATCAAATAATTTTCTCAGCAGGGCTTGTTTCACAGTGCAGGATTTGCATAAGCTAATATGGAGCGTGTCCTGAGCCACGGGTGTCCCAAGTGGTGAGTCAGAGGGTCAGCTCAGGTCCTGCACCCTTCACCGCTGTGCTGGGGCTTGGACTTCAGCTGAGGCTCCTACAGGCGTATTTATAGTACTGGTATCTTAAAATCTGATTTTTTTCTGGCTTTGTTGCAAGTGCCTAACACAGTATTTCTTCAACATAATGGCCTATATTTCCATTTTATGTGTATGCATAAATATATGTACCTATTAAAAAGCAGCGCTTTGAGGTTGAGCTGCCTGCATGAGAGCTGTAGGAGCGGCAGGGAGGGCCTAGAGAAGTTTAACCCCTGCCATTGTTTGCTGCCTAAGAGGGAGCACAATTTCTTCTTGAAAGTTACAGCTTCACTGGCACAGCCAAGGGTGAACAGTTGCAAGCTAAAAGCAGCTACTGTCTGGCCATGCCAATACATCCTTAAGGAGTTCTTAATCCACAAATTACTGACATTATTGTCTATAATTGCTTGTCTGTTGTGACAACACTTACTCAGAGAATGTCAGAAATGTAAACAGCAGCCAATAGCTTTTTGCAGTGAAGTCCTGCCAGTACAGCACTGGGCTCTGTCTTGCACCTTCATCCCATACCAGCAAAATCCCTTTTGTCTCTATATAAGTAAGGATTGCACAATCAAATCCTATATTAAGCAGAACATTTTTCAAGGAAAATATGTGGCTTGTTATTTCTTTTAATACTTGTCATCAAAAAGTCAGTTTGTTCTGTAATAAAAGTTTCTCTTGCATCAGAATGTAATTTGGTAGTTTTACTTCAAAGCACAAATTGGGGAAAAAATTGTGTCATCTGGTCACTTAAATTAGACCAACTTTTTTTCTCCCAAATTATTTTGAAACTATTCAAATAAAACATTGTGTAGGCATTAATTAAATCAGGGATAAATTGTGCTTTACATTATGTTGTAAATTTATAAAGGAAGATTTATAACCACAGAACCATTAGCAGTACTACTAAGTACTACCAAGTAAAAAGCACACAGATACACACATTTTAAGAATAATTCTCACATTTTTCATCTGGGCCCTGAGTATATAAATATGTGTGTAAATACACACACAGAGAAATACTATTTAGCCCAGAAATACCACTAAGTCACTTTTTTCTTAAAAGAACAAAAACCTTTGAATGGACTTTATGCAATTTTTGCCCGCAGAGAATTCTTTCAGATACAGTATTGTGTGAAAAAATACAGTCCTACATAACTCAAAGATACAAATGAGGTGCTTCCACCAGTTCCCATGGGCACTTGTTCCCATGTCTGAGTGCACTGTAAGGAGCATTTTCCTGCTATAGTTGGGCTAGGCTTCCCCATGCTTTTGAGCACATTGTGTCCCTGCTAGTTGTGTACATCAGGAGAGCCTCCAGTGTTCAGGAAGGATTACACAATTTATCTATATCCCTCCATACAGTATGGGGAGATAGGGATAAGCCTCTGGAAACCAAAGAAATATTGCCAGGCTGCAAATCTGGGCCCTTGGTAGCATGGTCAAAGCCTATGCATTGTCCTCTGCTGCCTTCCCAGGAACTTCATCCAGTGCTTGATGAAGATTGGAGGAAATGAGACCAAAAAGTGCTGGTGAGATCTGGGCTGGTCAGATTTGGAATTTGTTTCCTCTGTTTTCCAGCTCAGCTGAGGGCTAAGCCCACCTTCTTGGGATTACCATCTACAGGAGGACCAGCCATCAAAGCCCCATTGGCAGATCTTGCCACAGAGAAGATATCTGACAAATGGGTTACACATACAGAAGCTATGAGACAGAGTAATTACAAATTAGTTTATAGACAAAAATAGAAGAAAAATAAAATTTACAAAAAATCAAAACCCCAACAAACTGAAACAAACAAAAAATACCCTCCCCCAAAAAAGCAAAACAAAAAAAAAACACCAACCCCCCCCCAAACTCTCTCTGTGCCTTGTGTCTTCCTTTGACAGCAGTAATGAGAGTTAGTTATTTCATAGGTGTGCATTCAGAGATGTAGTGCAATATGACAAACACTTTCTGTTGGTCTTTCACGTGGCAGTAGAACCGGTTCTTGACAGGGGGAGAAACTCCATGCTGCTGCCTAATGTGGTTTGGTCCTGGGACTTGCAGCTTCGAGTCAGCAATGTTTCATGACCACAATCGGATTTCCATATTATTGGCAGACAGAAGAGAGGAGGAGCTAACAAATAGTTCACCTTTGCAAGCATTGTTACAAAAAAAATATTCCTACATAGTAACAAAACTATGATAAATACTGTGCAGTTATTTGCTTTGGCAGGGTCTGTGTTTGAGAGCTGGAGAATGCATGAAGAAACACACAACCCACTGTCATGCACATCTTTAAAAGTTTCCACAGCTCCATTTTAGTAAACATGCTTTGTTAAATTAAGCAATTTCTTTCTAAGCCAAGATTATTTAAATAAAAAAATTTAAAAGTCTACTGAGGACTCTGCTATGCTGTAAATGAGAAAGACAACCTGGTCAGACATGGGTAGTACCTATTCCCTCTCAAGAGAAAGGGCCCTCCAGTGCCTTTTGCAATCTTCTGTTCAGATGGCCCACTACAGGGGTGGGCAGTTTTGTCTCCTGGCTTTTGCACCCTGCATCTGCAAAGGACAGCAAAAGGCTGGAATTCAGTCCTTGCAGAGCTTCTCCAGGGTGTTGGCAGCTGGGAAGGTGCTGCTGCCTTTCTTCAAGCAGATTTGGCAACTTCCCAGATTCTCCATGTATATCTCACCTCCCTGGTCCTTCTAGGTAGGAGCCCAACCAGCAACTCCGTCTTCTGCAGAGCATCTGAAGTCTTCTCTCTACCAATTGAAATGCCTCTTTTTTTTCTTTTTTCTTTTTTTTTTTTTTTTGGCCTTTTAAGCTATTGTCTATTATGTTAGCCCTTTTGAAGGCCTTGTCTCTGTCACAGTGCTGACACCAAGCACACCCATAATATCTGCCATTTCAGACCTTTGGGGATTTTCTAAACATACTTAAAAATGGGAACCTCACTTGCTTTCCTACCATCCTGTCTTGCCAGAACCAAACTGAGTAACTGGAGTACTATATTGCTAATATAGTACTGCTAAGGCAGAACAGACTGTCTCCTTTCATTCTATAAAATATATGTAACATAAGATGATAAATAATCAAAACTGTGCTGTGAAACAATAATAATATGCACATCATATTTTTTCCTAAATTTTCATTTTTAAAATTACATATTTAAAGGGAACTGCTGCAAGTGAAAGATAATTACATCTAGAGTATTATTCAGCTGTCTTTCTCTGTGAAGCAAAGAAATCATATACTTGACTTGGAACCATTACTGTTGCCAGACAGATGTTCTCTCTCAAATATGTAGAGTAGAAAGGATGGAAAGTAACCTGGTAGTTTTACTGTAATAAATTAAAGTGTTAGGACAGTGTCTACAGCTTCCACAGCTTTGCCAGTCATTTTGTTTAAACATGAGTGATATGCATGATGTTTCTATAAGGTAAGAAAAAAAAAAGCATTAAAGTTTATGCAAACTACATCTCTTCAGGCTCTTTTCAAACCAAATGTTGTCTGGTTCATTAAGCCACTTGTACTTCTGGGACCTCTTGCAGGAGTAGGAAGGAGGAAAAAGCCACTTCCGCCAGGGCGTTTACAAGAGCTATAGCATAGCAAGAGGAAGTTTCTAAAGGAAGAGCCGGATATCTGTACTGAAGTGGATTACAGCTGCACCACCAACTCAGATGGACAGAGCTGAGGCCAAGTACACATAAATGTGTGAAAACAAGCAGCATGGGGAAGAGTGAAAAGCAGCTTTAAATCTCTCAAGAAGTAAATGCACTTCATGTCACTGAATTATGTCAGTGGGTAGCTGTAATTTTGAAGTCCATATCTTTACCATGAGATCAGGCAAAGGAAATAAATCCACAGGTTCAGGAAAGTAAGGCTTTTGGTAATTTTAAAGCAAATTCCGTGCATTTTCTCATTCAATGCTGGCTTTCTTTAAATTTAGCGACTGTGTTCGTTCCCTTTCTGAGCACTGCCCATTCAAGACTGTGCACTGGGGCCATGTCCATTTATGCATCTGTCTCCTCTACTGTAGGATTCTGTTCTCTGCTTTTACAGTTGAAGTACATTAAGATGGTAATTTCAAGTACTGTTACTGCTCATATGTTTTAAATCTTATGTGTTCCAAAAGGCTGATAAAAGAACTACACATAAAAAATAAAGGAGAGATATTTCTCTGCACTTAAAAGATCTTTCTTTATCTTATCTTTCAAAAGCACTCAGCTGATATTTTGTCCTGTTTCTGCTCTCACTGGGATCCCTGATAAAGCTGTGTGTGTTTAGGATAATTAAGCTTTCTAACATACATTGAGCTAGGGAGTAGGCATTACACTGTCCACATTCACAGCAACCTGCAGGAATACAAAACAAGGGAACAGCATATCCAGATCTGACCAACTTACTCTACATTTCCTTCCAAATCCGTTTAATCAATTCACTGAATCAATTTGGGTTTTTGCAATGAATCAGTGAAATAAAATTTCATCAGCTCCAGAATGAATACAGTCATATTTTCTATGGATTTGGATTGGATATTTTTGCTTCCATTAAGTCTTTCATCACTGGACCATTTGTAATCTGTCTCTTCTATATTTTGCCTACTGTCAGATAATGAGCAACTTCATGGTGCAACCTTTGCACCAGATCTCAGTTCTCCAACCATCTATATCATGAAATATAATGAATACTTAGCATCATTGGGTCCTCTTCCCTCTCTAGATCTGGGCTGAAAGTGGCCAGCGAGATCAGGAATTATGACAGAAGGAGGAGAAGAAAAGAATCCACTTAATACCTGTTTTCATAGCAAATGAGATTAACAAACAAATGCAGAAAGCTGGCACAAAGGCTGTCCATAAGCCAGCCCAGAGGACATGTCCCTTCCTTGGCATCTGCTCAGGGTGCGTGACTAGTTACTTTTAAAAATGTGCTGTCAGATATTTACCCAGTGTGCTAATTCATTTCTGGGCTTGACTCAGCTCTAAAATTAATGCATTTCCTTTCCCTGGGCAGTACAAGGAGTTCCAGAGTGATAATAGTATTGACTTTTGGGTGTTGACCAAGTTATCTTATAGCTGCGACAAGCAGTAGAACAAAAAGCATCAGGAGAAAATTCTAAACAGAAACTAGTAAGAGTTCCCAAGCAAAACCACAGCTAAGGTAGGCTAGACAGTCTTAAAAATTCACATTATTTCCTATAAATCTCATTCACTCAGTGGTGAGACATCAGTTTAAATGACTGAGCTCAGAAGGGCATTGGTACCCCTTTGACCCATGGCAGCAGTAGCATGGGAAGGAGAGAGGGAGGGAGGGGATCCAGGTGCTACAGCTCCTTTGAGATAACCTTTGGCCAGCAGCAGACTCTCAATTAAAAACTATTGTAGCACGCAACAGAAGAAAATTGTTTCTGCACTTAAAAGGCCAGTCTATAATCCCATTAAAATGAAGCTGGAATAAAAGGAAGAAAATAGTTGTTTTCTCTTGCAGGATGCATTAACATAACTACTCTGAATTTGGGGTTAGTCACAGAATTGGGTAAAGGCCAAATTTCCTGCATGAAGCTGCCTAAAAACAAAGCAGCATGTTTGACTTCACAAGCTTTTCCACACCAATCAATACATTCTAAAGAAAGATTTATTTACACAATTCAATAACTCCTTGATGAGATACTAAGCTATTTCAACTCCTCAGACATTTAATGGTCAGATGGTATCATGCTAAAGAGGATTTTCCAGTCTAACAACTCTATTTCACTGTATGTATTTTTAAATGTTTTTAAATGGATAGTCCAGTGTTTGAAGCATGGGATATTTCTTTAGCTGACTGGTCAGAAGCTGGTCTGATCCAGTAACAACCAACAGCCATTCCTGGCCTGCAGTTCTTTGGTGGCTTATATGAATTCATTTGATGTGCTCAGCAGAAGTAGCTGCCACTGGGCAGGAGGCCAAGTGGTGAAAGCGTCACATTTTGCACTAATCAGGCACTTCATTGCTCTCTGCAGTTATGGCTGGCCAGCCCTTTGTGCAAGAAGCCCCATTAACTTTAAACTTAGCTCCCTAAAGGGCATAGCAGGGGCTGGAGTGGTAAACCTGACACCAAAAATAAATGGGAGCAAAATTTGTCCTGTCTAGTTCTGTTACAAGGAAGTTCACGCCTTCTGGTGTTACATTATCAGAGGGCTTTATCTGTTCAGCTCCCTTTAGAGTATTAATTCAAACTCACATAGTTCCAGTCCCTGAATTCTGCCATCAACTGTCCATATCCATTTGATAGATTAAAATATTAACTGGAATTCCAAGTGCAGTGTATAAGAATATAAATGCATCTCTTGAAAATTAGCTGTCAGACAGAAGGAAACCCTCCTTCCGTGCTGTGTGCTGGGAAGAGTCAGTGACTGCATGTTCCCCAGGAAGCTGGTTAAACCCACAGAGCTCTTGCTGCAGTTCCTCACTTCCCTGCAGTCAGGCAGCACTCCCACACTTTGGTACCTGGGCCTCTCTCCAAGTACACAGTCATTTACTATGGGAATGGTTCAATTATCACAGGTAGCAAATTCAGGCTGGTAGATGTGGAAGAGCGAGAAAGAAACCTGTCCAGCTAAAGATGAGGACTCCACCTTTTGTGTAAATAAGTTAGGAGTTGGTTTGAATAGAGGAGATGCTACAGAACGCACTAGCCGCAGGATAAGAACATGACATACTTTTCTCAAGGCTCCTACCTGTGCTGCTATAGCAGGACACACTGGACTGTGGTGGTGTGTTTTGTGCACACCCCTCATTTCAACAAATTCCTAATCTCACTATGGGAAGGAACGGATCAGTGCATCTTGAATTGGGGCTTCCTGACAGGAACAAGAATTTGGTTTTAAAACACTGTTCATATATCAGTTAGGCTTCACTAGCACTGGAAAACATGAATTAAAAAGTCATTATTAATGTTGAAGATTATTTTGACCCCTCCATGAATGGAAGCAGCTGTTTTTTACCTCAAAACATGCCATTTGTGGTCCTCCCTTCCTCTGTACTATCCTCTGTAGAGATGAGAGGTGTTGTACATCAATGTCTAACATGTATTGAGTGTCACTGCTGTCATGCTGATGCCTATGGATCCTGTCCTGGCAATGCAGACCTTTCAGAACTTTTGACTAATGCAAAGCTGGAAGAGGGATGTGTTTCTTTCTGTTTTCCTACAGAAAATGTGCTCTGCACTCCTCAAACCACCCTGGGACACAGCAAGTGTGTGTCTGGGTGTACCCTGAAGGAAGCACGGGACACACTGCACAGGGTCTTCCTCCCAGAAGCGGGAGGAGATGCCTCTGAAGCCTGACATGGCACTCTGCAGCTTCAAGGAATGGCTGAAGTTTTCCATGGACAGGAACTGCTCCCAAAGTGGTCAGATAAAAGTAAGAAAGGCTGATGGGGGATGAGAGAGTATCCCTTCCCCTACCTTCCATCCTCTGAAGGAAGTTCCCCAAGACCATCCAGGTGATTTGGTGATGCCATGGTGCTAAGTAACACAGCAATAAATTTTTCTTTGTGGCAACAGTTTTTTGAGAAACATTTGAATGGCATCACCAAAATATTCCTAAAGTGATCAAAGGTTCAGAAAAATGCCAGAGTGGCCTGGCATTTTAAGCCATATCAGTACCCTTTTAGGAACTAATATGCAGAGATCTGGACATTTTTCCCCTTGATTGTTAGAATAAGCATGTGAGCAGTGCACTGCCACAGGTGAACCCAGATGTTAAAGCTGAGATTGCCAAAACTATATCTTGGGATCTCATGGATACAGAATTTCACAAGGTGGATTTGATCAGAGTGGCAAGGCTTACCATGTAGGGAAACTCATGATTTTAATCACCATTACTGAATATATTGAAATCTACACTTTACACAAAACAATGGCATTTCTAATGAGAATGCTCCAGCACCTCAGTTTCACTGCTAGCTTTATCATCCATTCTTTCTCATGCATGTTTTTTTTTAGTGGCTGCGTGCCCTTGTGCACACAGGAGAAGATCACATTCACACAGAAAGACTTATCTGTGAAATGCTGAGGTCATTAATCTCATGAAGCCAGCAGAGCACCACAGGAAACATGTCTCCTTGCTGTAAGATGGTCTTGTTTTTGTGCAGACAAAAAAAAAATAAAAATATTGTCCCAGCATTTTCTGATATGTAGCTCTTTGTTTTAAAGATTACATGTGAAGGAATAAGTATCCTGGCACTGGTAAGCACACCATAGGCTAGGAGGGTTTTATTTGCTAGTTATTGTTTGTCTTATAAATGCTAAAGTGAAATGACGCAAGTGCCCTTTTTGTTGTCATATTGTTTGTTTTAGCTTTCATTGGATGCAATCCAATGGTACCTTTACGTAGGCTCCTGTATAATTAAGATAGTGTGCACATTCTCTGAAAGGAAATCATTAAGAGCCTCTCACAGAGAATGCACTGATTTCCCTGTCTGTGCCTTTTAAGTGGGTATTGCTCACACTCCATCAATTAACTTCTTGATAGTCCAGGCAGACTTCAAAAATTAATCCCATGTTAAGCTTCCAAAGCAGCTTTCAGCAGAAAACATTCAAGCTACTTTGCAGGCTATAATTCACTTGCTACAAACATTAATTTCTTGGTTTTTTCCCAATTATAAGATGTTCTTCTCAGAAAAAAAAAAAAAAAAAAAACCAAAAAACTCCACCAACCAAAATCCCAACTTTTTTTCCTCAGAAACACTTTAGAATCTGGGAGTTTTTGAGTTTTTAGTTTGTTTGTTTTTAAAGTAACAAAGCCAAAAAAGCAGCTCAATAAATCCTCAGATTAATTGATGGGTTCCTTGGTTATAGATGTTAAATCAAAAAATCAAGAGAAACAGGTATGATTCTTGGGAAAGGAATCTGGGGGTTTAACATCTGAACAAAGAGGATAAAGTACAATTTCACTGTATATTTACTCAACTGAAACTGCAAACACAAGGCATAAACTTTCCCATTGCCTATAAATAACTACCTTCCATTGCTACAAACTCTCTGTAGCTGTGTGTGTGCTCCCAGTGGCTGAGGTGTGCCCTGATACCAGGCTGTCCCTGCTGAGAACCTGCCAGGCTGCTGTGCAGCTCAGAACCTGCTCACCTGTGAGCTCCCCTTGGGTCCTTCTGCTCTCAAACTGCCCTGTCCCCACTACACATCACAGTGGAAGATATTCCTCCTCAGTGGAAGATATTTCTCCTCTAGATCTAAGGGGAAAGTCAGTAAAACCCTGTAAAACTAAACCATGCTTGTGACACTAGAGAGGGAAAAGCTCTGCTGCTGCTGTGCTCACCTGCCTTTATTGGCAGCTCAAGCTGAGGATTGAATTTTCTCACCTTTAAAGCCTACCCAGAAATTTAGTAGACTTCAGGGGAGATTTGACATCTAAAACTGGCTTCCTAGGTAAAAACAAATAAAAACACCATGTACAGTTACTACAGGCATACTTGCAGATGATCGGTGTGCAACAGTAAAAAATTATTATTGAAAAGGTGTTTGGTAAATTCTGAAAGCTGCAACTGAAGTCGAAACAGTGTGTGCATTACAGCAGGAGCTGCTTGACTGAACACGCTGCAGCTAAAATTGTATCAAAGTAGTTACAAAACCTGATTAAACACGGCTTCATTCCCACATTCAACTCCACCTTGCTGCCTTGGCAGAGTCATAAACTGGTAACACCCTGTTGCTGGGTTTCACAGAGCTCATTAGCAGTTAATAATAGCCGAGCAAAGGAGTTCAGTTTGTTTCCATCACACTGATGGTGTTTAGGGAATCGATGCCCTCTGACAAAGGGTGATGGTTCAAAAAACACACTTTGCATCAGCTCCTGTTTTCTATCGGACTCCAAAGGCAGCAGAGTCAGCCAGCACTGAGGATCTGTGCCGCCTGCAGTGACAGAATTCAACCACTCTGCTCATCCACTTCCACCACGGGAAAGCTGATTTGCTTCAAAAAAGGATCCAGGGCACTCAGCAGTAAAGACTGATAAAGCATTCCCACTTCAGAAATCTGTCAGAAGAGGAAATAAATGGCTCTAAATACAGATCCCTATTTTTTGCAACATCCAAACTGCAGCCACTTGCAAGTCTTTTGTGCATTAATGTGTATCCTAATATATCATTTCTTGAAAACTAATGCTGTGACAGCACTTACATTGTGCATAAATACATCAGCTGAGCTTACTGCTTGCTGGAAAGTTAGATACTCAGCTTCCAACTGTGGGGCCTTCCAGCTAGGCCCCTATTCACCTCTAAATACAGTGTACAAGGTCTCAAAAACTGTGATTAAGACAATTGAAATGAAGTAGTGAAAAACTCCATCCAAACAAGCTTCATCTCTACATCAATGACATGTAAAAAATGTAATAGCAATTGTATTTCAACCTCTCGCCCACTTTTGGAAAACAGAAAACATTTCTTCCACCCCCATTCTTTGCAAAATTTCTATGCTGCTTCTATTTAAATGAAGAAAGAAGAATGTGCAACATTTTTTCAGACCAGTCACAGTATTCCAGCCTCAGGAATTTGTCTTCATATAAAATCACCACAGCTGCAGTGCAGGACCCAAGTATTTTTTACCCTTTGCTAAGATGATAGACAGCAAAGCATCACAAAAATAAGAGACTGTCAAATAATCCTTGCAAAAATATATTAAACACTGCTAGATTCTTGACTCTCCTGCTCTTCCTTGACTGCACCAGTTTGCTGTATAAAGGGATTTTAAGCAGTTTAGCCTTTCCAAACTGTTTGCCCTGGAGAGAGCATTCTGTACTATTCCAAGCATTGCAGGGACTGTCCCCTCCAGTTTCCAAGGCACATTTTGCATGCTGACACTCCAGAAAGACTTTGGGAAGGAGTTGTTGTCCTTGGGCACAGCCAAATGTTACTCTTGGAAGGAGTGGGGACAAAAAGACACCTCAGAGCTCTGGATGATAAAGCAGCTTCAGAGAAAAAACACGAAACTTGTTCAGTTTGGGCCATTACCCAGAGCTTACAAAAACCACCATGGATTTGTGGTATGTTTAAGAAATGAATATACAGGTACTATATCTCCCAACAACCAATAGCAAAAATTTTTTGCAACTCCAGACATCTTAAAACCAGTGAACTGCTATGGGAGAGGCAGTTCTTCTCCTGACTAGAAGTGGCAAGCTGCTGTTCCCACCTGCTGAGGGTGGTTTTAGCAGATGCAAAATGTACCTGGTAACTCAATTTCTGTTACTGCTTTCCTCTAAGAAATACGAAAATTAATTAAAAATAAAATGCAAGTAATTTCTTCCAGATCTGCTAAATAAATAATGTAATAATAAATAAATAAATTGAATCAGCTAAATTCCTGCAGGTAGGTTTTCTCCCCAGAGAGAAAGGAATGTGTGCTTGCTTCTTCTGAATTTTAAGCTATCTGATAAGCACTAAAAAACCTGTCCTTTATATAAATTTATAATCTGTTTTCCCATAAAGCATTAATCCAAAAGGAAGGAGGAAATAAAGCAGAGTCCCTTTAAGACTGGTACAGCATTCACTTCCTCAGGCACTGGATATAGGCAGAAATCTGGCAGATCTCCCCAGGCTGGTCAGAAGACCAGATTTGCTGACACTTGGGATCGGAGCTGCTGCCAGTGCCCCCATCTAGATTTGCACACAGTGTCTTGTGTGGGCACTGGCAGCAGCTCCGGTCCCAGGTGTCAGCAAATCTGGTCTTCTGACCACAAACACTCAAGGCTTTGAAAGGAGAAAGCAGCTGGTTTTAAATACCTGAAAAGTTGTGCCAGAAGAAAAAGAGAATGATGTTAAAAATTCACCCATTTTTTCCTTTTATCATAAGCCAAAACATTGCCATAAATATGCATTATTTGAGAAAAAACATTAACTTTGTTTTGTCTGATTAACTATTTCCATTGATACAAATTTTCATTGGCAAATCTTCAGCAATAAATTGCTGAAATCTGAAGTCAGATGCACACTTAGAAAAGGTGTTTAACTTAGCTTATTATCTCTTGTTAGTGAAAATACAGAAAAAAACCTCCTAATTCAAAAGTATTGCCCATGTTAGCAATGGGCTAGCTCTAGCCATGCAGTTTACAACATTAAGTAGAAATCAACTGATTTTCATTTTCTTGCTAACTTTGGAGAATCAATTTACATAATCTACTGACACAACTGTTTTCTTCCCAGGTGGAAGATGCTTTGTGACTCATGGACTGCAGCACAGCTGCTTTTTGTCTTGTTCTGTGACCTGCCTGGGATATAAAGTAGTTGTTGGAGCAACAGGCACAGCTGCACTTCGTCTGAATGCTCCCACTGTGAACTCCAAAGCTGTCTGACAGCTATGCAGCAGAAAAAACACAGAACATGAAAATCTTTGGCACAGGGCAAGTCCATCAGCCAGAGAGCAGGTTGGACACCACTCCTGACAGTGTGTGAAAGCAGCTGCAAGCGGATATTCCTGAGTCTCCAACTTCTCCTGCTCTTTGGACATTTTTAAAGTAAACCCTTTTCAGTTTGCCATTCTTAGGCAAAGGGAAGGAGTTGATATTGCGGGGTCTTTGTGAGAATTATCTGGTGGTCACATGCAAGACTCACTAAATTGCAGCTCTGCCATGAGCAAACCTGTACAGCTCTACCTACAGCTGTGAGGAGAAGCTTGCCCTGCCAAGTGGGAATTGCACTTATTTGCTTTCACATTTTTAGTATCGCAGTCTAAAGCTTTTCTTTTGGTTTGGTGATAGGACACCAAAGACCTATCTCCGTATACTGAAGAAGAACACTGAATATTCTTCATTTCATGTATGGCCTTCTCTTCCTAGCAGAACTTTTTATGGGCAGAAAATCCCAAGAAACAAGCCTGAAGTGCAATAATTCTGAAAGTTCGGGTTTCTGAGTATTTCCAGCTAGTTCCTGTGTTTGTACTGGTGATTGTTCCTTTATGGGCTGAGTGTAGGGGATGCACCATCCAGTGCTCGTGAGATCACAGCATCCTGCCAGGCAGGCAGACAAAACCTCATGTTTTATAACTGAGGAGGTGAAATGTGCCAAGAGCATGAAACCAGGCTGCTGAGCTTAATCTTGCTTTCATGGTTACTCTTATACCTTCAACCTCTGAAAGTTCCTCCAACTTGGACAAATCCAAAAATACTTCAAGCTGAGCACAGCAGCTGCTGGGCACAAGGACAGCATCTCTGTGGCTGCCCAAACCAAGATAAAAACATCATCAAGTGTGCAGCTAGGAGAAAAGGAGCAGAGGACATTTTCCACTACTATTCTGGAAACAGGGTCTTAGAGCTGCCAGTGCTATTAGTGCTCCATCAATCACTGATATTACTGTGGGCTCATTTTAGTAAAAAAAATCTTATAGAACAAATGAATCCTCCTTCCTTTTGCTAGTTTACCCAGATGAAATATTACATAATAAAACATTAAGAATGCTGTGGTAGTAAGGACAGGAGCACATAGTCAGAAAAATATGATATGGTGTTAAAAGGAAACCTCCAACCCCTTCTTGCATCCTGAAGGAAAGAGTGATAAAAGTGGATTTTAATTATTAACTTGGATTAGCTATCACAATACCTGAGAAATTGTCATATGGAACATATTCCAGTATAGCTTTTACTCTTAATGGCCTTGAGTCTTCCAAGAAACAAAATCTGTGTTACATAAACCAATATCAAAGTGGCCTTGCTTTTCCTTCCCCTAGAGCTACAAATACATCAGCTATGCAAGAGCCATTAATGTGCAGTTAATGTGTCCAGTAAAAATTTTAGTGAAACATACTGTGGTTGCTTGAAATAAGTGTTTGGATCGAATAAAGTTATAGTACTGGGAGACTTGAAGCAGAAATTCCAGCTATGTTACCCTTTCACTTTTATTTGTTCTCAAAAAAGTTCCTGCTGTGATTATGGCTGTGCTTTAGAGCAGAGTGTGAAGGATGTAAGGCATGAAGAGCTGTGCTATTCAGCCCTTTAATTAAAGTCAGCCATCCCTAAAATATCAACTAGTAATATCCATGAAAAGATGACACCTCCTTTATATTTTGCACAGATAGAAGAATCAGAACCAATGAAAGGGACATGAACAACAGTGGCATTGCCTTACAGTCTCTATGAGGCAGTATCAAGTTCCCATCACTATTTTTCAGATAAATGTTTTGTACTGGAGACACAAGTTTTGGTGCTTGTAAACATATTTTTCCTTCCGCAAAGTTGTTAAAAATAATAGCGCATATTTATATAAAAGCACCAGGATTAAAATAGCACAAGCTGATTTCCTGTTTCTCCAAAAAGCAGTGAGTATGGGCAAACCAAGGCAGGGCTTCCAGAAGGGCTTGTGAAAGGTTAAAGGTCAGTGTCCTCTGATTTTGAGAGAGATGGGTTTGAGGAGAAGAGAGAAGGGAGAGCTCAAGTGAAATTATTCTTCAGGTTGTGGCCTAGCTGCAGGAGATCTGCTTTCAAACTTTGCTCCATATTCCTTTGGTAAAACAAGCAAGGACCCACAACAGGCAGAGAGAGGACAGGTATACAGCCACACATGCAGTTTTGCAGTAGAAGGGGAGAGTGGATGAAGTGGATCCAAACTCCAGCTGCTGAGCTCTGGGCTAGTGAATGTGCAGAGCCATGGGGAACAGTGTGGCTCTGTGCCTTTCACCCAGTTACAGCACTAACAAATGCAAGAGCTCACTGTTTCTTCAACCTCTTTTTGCTTACAAAAGGACAACATTCCTCACTATTTTTCTCTTCAAAGCAAGTAAAGGCATTTCAGAAAAAAACCCCAAAACTTAAATGGATGTTCCAGAATATGCTAATGTCATGATGAGATTGACTCTAAGAAAGGCATGTTGTATACCAAATGCATCCTGGGTGAGGCCAGTGTTTGCCTTTGAATGATGGCATACAGTGAATTCATTGACAGGCCCAGCAAGCCCACACTTCTTTCTGAATAATCACAATCTGAGAAAAAGCTAAGATAGAGCACAGCAGTAATCCTCAAAGGTTCACACACTTGCACATGTGCACAAGAAGACACAATGGCAAACAAATCTCAAACAGAATAGCCTGGCTTTTATTTTTTTCACAGAGCTCTTACCTCTTCACAACCAGACACTTCTCAGTGTTCTCTTCCTCCTCCTCCTCCTAAGAAAGCATCTGCATCAGTTCATCCTAGAGTGGAGGAGGGGGTGAATAAGGGAAAAAAAATCCCCACGTAATTTTGGCATTTGAATAAATATGAACATTGTTTCTGCTGTTTCATTTCTATCAGATTTGGCTTCTCTCTTTGTTGGGTGGTTTTAACAGCTGTTTATTTGCACACAGTTGTGCAAGCTGTTTTACAGCTTGTTGAGTTAGACTTGAGACACAGCATGTGGTTCCCTTCAGGCATAACTAACTTAAAATAACAAAGCCCAAGAATTCCTTCTTAAGAAGCTCAAGGCCATTTGTTTAAAGTTTGAAAAGAATTAGGATCCTGTAATTTCAGGCTTTGTTATGAAAGGGGTGAAAAGTTTCCTTCACATTACCTGGCTGTATGCACTCTGCAGCTGTATCCCACTGCAGAACCACCAAAAAGTCATCTTGCTCTGTGTGTGCTGATTCCAGAGAAAATTCTGGCTACAAACATGTTACAGCCACATGTAACACACCTTAGAGGAGGGGTGACTGCGTGAAAAATAGTAGCTGAAACTTGATGGCTTTAAGAAAAAGACAAACCCACCTGTAAACAAGTGAACAAAAGAATAATTTTCATAGCCCTTTTCATTCTCACAGTTTAAGGAATTGTCAAAACTGGAAGAAAATGTAATTTTACTTAAGCACAGTAAAGAGAGAAATGCCATGGAGGTGACAGCAATAAGAGCAAACATTTTCTCAGAAGGCCCTGAAGGGCTGTGCTGTAGCCGAAGGTTGAGAACAACTGTATACACCATGCACAGGGGTCAGCAATAGCCAAGTGCCAGCCAGAAAAAGAAAACAGCTGAGACAAGAGAGATATTTGCAGGAGTGATAAGAAGTTTTTGCTGTAACAAAGGGCAGCTTTGTTCTATGTAGCTGATAGAACAATATTGGTCTTGGAGATCCTTACGTTTAAAAACAGTTCCTTGCTAGGCAAGGATACATGTTTTGCTACTCAAGTGTGGGCAGGCATTAAAAGAGGCACAGGGATGTGTGAATTACTGCTCCCTGGCCTGGGAGAATATGTCAGCTTGAAGATAGCAGAGTAAGAACAAGCACTTCTGAGAAGTCTGAAAAGCAAAAGATCAAAAGGCTTCTGCTTCAACTTACTGTTTCCCTTTAATGGCTGTAGGCTGAATGCTTGATTCCCAATCAGTCCCTCATGCTTTTTTACCCCCATGTATGGGCATTACATCTCTTCTCTTCAATCCAGACCTTTGGAGGTTTTCCCAGCGCTGTGAAGGGACAGAGTATATTACACTTTTTACATTTAGCTACTGTAGGTTCAAATCAGATGTGTCTAATTCTTAATAATGGATACCTTGAACCCACAAGCAAGCTGCTGGAAAATTACTTTGGTTACATAGAAAACCAGTAAACACTAATACTAATACGGGCATATCTGACTAACAGATTGTTGGAGGAACACAAAACATGAGAATTTAATCCTATAGCTTGGACAGAATATTAAAAACATTTGCTTTTTGAAGAGTGAACTTGTGGTTTGATAATGCAAGGAAGGGAATTTCAGCTGAGTTGTCCAGTAGCTTCTAATTGAAAGAAGAGATACAGCTTATAGACAGCTCCAATTACAATGAAGTATTGATAAAAAGGATTTTCAGGCACAAATTCATCTCTCAGGAGGTCCAAGTTGCAATGTTTATAAAATGCCAAGAATGCTCTTCCATTTTATAGCAGGTAACTACATTATCTTGCAAATCACATCTCCTAGGGCCTACTGTATTACAGCCTTAACCCATCCCACAGTTTATTTGAGCATTGTGATGACAGCCCCAGCTGTACTGGGCTGAGGCCTGTGGGATGGCTGCTCCATTTGATGGTACAGGGGGTGTTCAGCTGCAGGAATGGAATTTGCAAACCTGAGTCCTCACATCCTCTGTGCAGTGAAAGTCTTCGATGCTTGCAGTTACCATGTAAAACATCCTCATGGAAGAACACCTGAAAAACTTCTTCAGGTGTTAGCACCATCCAAATGCCAGATTATAGACCAAGTCTGCTTTGTAGTGAAATGTCTACATAATTCTCCAGGGAACAAGCTCGCCCCACTCAAGGCTCAAGACAGGGACTCTGAGTCTGCTCATTTAAAAATACCTTTGCTTTCCCAGCATCCACACAAAAAAATATAGCAGCAGCTTCTGTCTGAGCAACCAGGAAGAAAACTTTTATGAGCTCTAAAGGTAAATCTTTCTTATGATGAGACCACAGTGCCAGGCCCTCCTGGCGCCATGCATATCTTATTGGAACACCATGGCTTCATGCTCTTCCCAGAGAAGGGTGAAAGGGTCCCTTTAAGCAGAGGAGCTGCAGAGTTTAATGGTTTCCTGTCTAGCAAGAATGTGAACTGCAGTTCCTTTTGTCTGCAAATGGGGCTGAGCTCATTTCTCACATCCCAGTGAGGGCCTCCAGGTTGTTCAATAACAATGCTCCCTTCTGCGGCCTACTGTAATTTTCAGTGACAGTAGGGATGCAAGTTCTGTGCTTTATGCTGACCTCCTTTTAATCACTGAATCCTACTAATCCTCACATGACATTTCACAAATCAGCCCCAGAGGCAGGCTCTGCATGAGGGATCCCAGGTGGCAGCGAGGCTTATCTACAAATGCAGTGGCTCTGACCAGGCTGAGTGCAACTCCCAGAGCTACACAGCTTGTCTGGCACATATATGGGTACCCATGGATGTCTGGCTGTGTGTAACTACTGGAGCTCTTGGAGGCTCATCTTTGATGCAGGTGAATACACTTGGCCTTAATTTGCATTTTAGCTCTCTAGATCCCCTTTTTTGAAAATCTGGCCTGACATTCTCTAACATAAACTCTGTTGAACTAATTCTCCAGATTATCCAGGATAAAGTTTGCTGAAAGTTTAATCATCTTGTTCAAAGAGTAATTGGTACAGAGCACTGTACATTACAGAAAGACAGGAAGCCCAGACCCTCCAAAAGGTATTAAGACATGGAAAGGTGAAGGTTGGCATGTTTCTCACTAGGCCAAATAAAAGACATGGCTAAGGCAGATTGTAAAACTCTTCAAACTGAATGTTTCCAATGGAAACTTCTGCTGCTGTCAGTGCTGAAAATGCAGGTAGCAGCAGAGGCCAGAGATGCCACAAGCTGGGGGCAAGGTGAGCCTCTCCTGCTCTGCAGGCATCAGCCCCAGGGCCTCCCTCTGGAGCAGGGACACGGCTGCAGGGCCCTGGGAGAGGCAGCAGGGCAGCCTGGTGACAGCCACCAGCCCAGGCCATCAGGCATCACCGCCAGGGTGAGGTGGGGCAGGCTGAGTGCAGGGACAGGGAAAGGTTCCTTGCTGACCCTGCATTCCTCAGCAAGGAGACTGCCGGGTGAGCTTCTGCTCCACCCTGAGCTGGGAGCTCAGCACCTCCAGAAGCTGCAACCCTGAGCTGAGGTACAGAATTCCAGAGCACAAGCACCTGGAGCAGCTTGAGCAGCAAGCTGGTAGACTGGAAGTAGGAAGGTGAGACATTTGAGATGGAAACAAACAGCTGGAAATACAAGAAGGTATGGATGACTGACAAAAGTGATGACTGCAATTTAATGAACAAATAGCTCAATTACAAAGTGGAAAATACCATAAAAAGCACACCACATCAGAAAAGGTTATCAAGCATCCATCATCGATTCTATTAAACATTCATAGCTCAAAGTTAATAATAATTCTTGGCTTGTTAGTCTTATGAGTTAAAGATTCCGGATTTCCTGGCCCATTTTATGTCAGAAAAAGGGCAACAAGACATCACAATCACTGGCATCAGGAAGCAAACTCACAAAGTATAACTACAGCACTCAGACAACATGAACAGAATTTTTCACAGTACCTGGCAGCCAGCTTGGAATGGATTTATTATTAGTCTATTAAAACTTTCTGACAGCAATCTTCACTTACATATGTATCTTCCCTTCTTTTCATCATGAAAATCTAATTCCCTTCCTGAAGGTATAAAGTCATTGGCAGAACTGCAGTGTTCTCTTTAAATGTTCAACATGTTTGAACATCAGCTGTTGCCCACTGGTGCTCTGTATCCATTAGTGGAGCTGAGCTCATGCCACTCCTGTCAGGGGAAGCTTGGTCACCAGAACACCAATTTCCCAAACCCTGCAGGAGAGCAGGAGGATGCTGAGGGTGTGAGCACAACTCTGCATTCTCAAAGAAAGCTGTCTGTTTCTTGGCAACTGGAAAAACAATCTCTCTCAATTCATGTAGTCTAGTCCACAGCTGCTGTTCAAACATTGGAGGGAATATTTGAGCCCTTTCAAATTGTTGATAATGAAATTACACAGACAAGAGATTAGATTGTTCATTTGGAAATGGGTTTAATTAATAGCCTGGACATTTTATTTTTACCCTTTCTAAAGATCATGATTGAAGTTTCATTTCCTTCCCCTTCTGTAGCATCTCTTGCTGCAAAGTTATGAAAAAGAAAGGAGGAAAAAACATGTTTGGTTTGGAGCTTTTTCCAAGTAATTCAAGGCAGAGTATTGGAACTTTTATTAAAATATACCTGCTTCCTTTATGGTTCAGCAAAAATCACATGCAACAGGAGGGTTTGGAAGGTCATTTGACAGTCTTGTGTCCAAGGCTCATTCTGACCACAGCATTGTGTTTCATCTTCAGTGGCTATATTTTTACACATATATATTTATTCCTTTTCACATGTTCTTTGTGCTTTCTCCCCCTCACACTTGTGGAACACTAACACTTGTCAGAGTCCTGCCTTACAGTTCACAGGCAGCTCTCTCCATTTTAAGGCTTGAATAAAGGTGGTGGGAGCTTTGCCTTTTAGGCAAAGTTCAAAAGTTGGCAAATATCCTTTATGAGCTTGTAAACACATTTCTGTGACTAGAAGGAACTGTCAGACATTTCTAGCCATGAGAGGAATGCATTCCCCTCAGTCTACTTAGTGACTTTTATATTCTAAATCTCTCTTGCCTGCTATGATTTTCATGAACTTGATTTTTAAACTCTTACAGCACAAAGCAGTCACTGCTTAAGACAAAGTAAATATAATTCACAAGGTCATTACTTACCTAGAAAACAACATCAGGTAAATATCAGTAAAAATATATACCTTGGGCACAGGACTCCAAACTTCTACAAGGAAATTAACCTTCACCAGGAGTCTCATGAAGGGGCTCCTCACAGAGCATTACAGACATTGTTACTGATCTGCTCTATCCATGAACCTTCTGATATTTTTATTATGTCATCAAGTAAAAAAATAATTCCTATCTTAAAAATAACTATTGATTCCTACACTGCCTCTTTTGGAGTGAAAGCTAGAGAAAACTTTGATTACAAAGGTGTAGCTCTTTCTGAGACACTGTTTAATGAAGCCACTTTCGTTTCCTATTGAACAGCCTTTCACACTTACATTTTGTTGAATGACAAACAATAGCCATGGGGAAATTAAACACTGAAATCTGCAGACACTCTGGAACAATATTTGTTTAACAGCTGCCGAACTCTGGAAGTAAGAGCAAAGAGTATTATGTAAGAAAATCCTGTAACCCAAACAGATAATATTCTGGTTAACATCACTTTGAGGCTCTACTTGCTTCAAACACCAGTTGTTACAAGAAAACAATGTTCTGCTGAGGATCCTTGGTGCAGGACTCTTTGTTCAGTCCAGAAACGTAGCAACCTAGAAATGTTCAATCAATCAAATTCAGGTAAATGTATAATTGCTATGGCTTTAAAAGGAAATAAATATATAATACAACAGACGACTTGGTCTTGCTTTGCTTTGAAATAAATATTACTGGAATGATAGATCGTACACTAGTTTGTTCCAGTCTTCAGAGCTAAAATTGAATCCATAAAAATAGATCTGGAACCATCAAGAGCTGTAAATGCAGGCCTGGACAAAGAGTTGACAGAAATAAATGAACTAATTGGACCTATATTTCTTAGCAGAATGTACCAGATTTCATGCCATGATTGTTTTATGATACTAAATGGAAAACAAACTGCTATTGTTTAAGCTTGGTAAATAAAAGATATTTTTATGAGCATTGACCCAGAAAAAAGTTGACAGTGTGCCAAATAGGTATGTTTTTCCAGTGCTACCAGACATTTTTAACTAAAATCTGAAGTTGGCCAGTAAATTAACATAGTTTTAAGTGACATCAGAAATTGTGTGTTTGTTTGGCTGTTACCAGAGATACTTCAAAAGTAACAGTGAAGAATTACCATTTCAAGAGAGGCCATACAACCTTTATTAAATTAGTAATCCTACTTATTCATTCCAGATAGATGAGATTTCAAATAATTATCCAAACTACAAATAATTCAATAAAGTCAGTGCAACACTTCAAATCTGGTTATCAAGTTTTACTGAAATTGCTTCAGAGGGCTTTTAGACAGCCTTGTAGGAAATCAATTAGGTAGCAGAACACATGGTAGAAGTATATAATTTTTTAAATAAATCAGTGTAATCATCATCTCTGACAGTTAAGAATTCTTATTTAAAAAGTTGGGGTAGCTCCCTTATCTAGATTTATGGAGTTATATGGAGTTTCACCTAAGTACAACCAACTGTAAAGTTTGAATTCAAGAGATTTGATCATAAATATGCAACTAATAAAGACAAATGCTGGAGAAATCCTTGCCTTCTTCTTAAAAGAGTACAAAATAGTACCAGTGGGGAAAACAGAGTTTATTCCATTAAACTGAGAGTCACTTTTCCATCAGCTTTGTCAGAGTTATTGCATATGACAATGTCATCATCTTAGCTCACCCATTAGTTGATTTTACTGGGATTAAACATGTTAGTTTTATGCTGTTGTAGATGGATGTTGTAAAAAGAAAATCAAAGATCTTTTCCTGACACATTTTTCTTTCCAGCAGAAACATAGCTAAGGATAACTTCTTATTTAAAAATTCTATGACTGTCAGTATTCATCTCACTCCTGCTCCTTGAAACTTTTTGGCCACAGCAGAAATGTTGATTTTTTCCCCCTTTGTGCTGTCCTTAGGGGACTTTTTCCATCAGGACATGGTGTACATCCCCCACAGCACATTGTCTGTCATAGGTACATACTGTGCTAGCAGACATGGGGCCAGAGCAGCACCAGGTCCTGAACCAGGCTTTGCCAGCAGCACATCCCTGGCACAAGGGAACAATGCAGGGACTCATTCTGCCAGGACAGAGATGGGACAGGCAGACAGAAAGGAGGCCCTTCAGCACTTTCTCCTGCCTTTATACCTGAGCACTCTTTCACAAACACCAATGCTCTGCCCTAGACAAGATTTTTATGCACTTTTTTTTTTTTGTGTTTAACAACAGGTAGCTTGCCTTCAGATGCAGACCTGAGTGCAGAGGATAAGGGCAGGAAGTGTAGAGCTGACCATTCATGAAGGGTAAAGCCAAAGATCAAGGTGAAATATGTACAGTTCCAGCTGCCAACATTGAGGCTTGAGCAAGTAAAAAACCCCTCTGAACAGAGGGATAAGGAATGTCTGCTTCACTGACCTTAAAGGTCCCTTGAGTTGTCTCTGCCTTGTAGCACAGGAAATAAGGTCTGGACTGGGACTGCTAATTTCCCACTTGCTTTTAAGCTTCAAGAATATGACAAGTCTGATGCTCACAACACCAAACCAGCAAGAAACATGAGCCAATGCTGAGAAAAGACGGACAAAAAGATTAACCAAAAGCATCCCCCACACTCCTTGTTCTCTTAAAAATCTGTTAATAGAGCTGTCTTTTCAATGCCTTCTCTTCCTCTGACTGATTAGGTATTTCTGTCCTTACAGTTGTGTTAACATCTCAGGAATAGAATTTGGCCAGATGTTTAACTTTTAACGTTAAACATTTAATGCTACACCATGTTTTTATCAGTTTTTAGCTTCTGCCATGTTGTCCTTTCAAAAGCTGTTCTTCCCATAGTACCAGTAGGGTCACTGGGAAGGATCTCTGTCTGTCCAGAAGCCCAGCAACACCAGACTTATGGAGTGTCCTAACAAACCTCACGGGAAGTCAAACACCCAGGCTCTATCTATGGCTCTGCCACATTTGAAACGGATACACAGATTTGATGGATTGTCAGACTTTGCTTCCTTGGGAGCCCCGGTGCCCTGCTCGCTCCCCACAGCTGAGGACCAGCTACCCCAAACCATCCCACACAAGGGATCCGGTAGCAGGGCTGCAGGCAGCTCCTGCTGGAGGAGCTCCTGCTCCTCACTTACCTCGAGGTTTCCTCCTTTGTGAGTCACTGCCTAGACACAGCTGCAAAGGGCATTAGTGGGAGAGATCCAGATGAACTTCACTTGTTTTTGGGACTCTGCACTTTCCAGTTAAGTTTATTTAGGGTAATGTGGCCTCTGGTGAAGGCAACATCTCAGTCACTGCCATGAGAGTGCTGCAAATGCAGTGAAAAGCTAACACTTACACTCAGTGTGTTTTGAAAGATAATTTGAATTTCTAATGTGTTCTGACACAACCACTGTGCACCAGCTAATGCTTTTACACTGACATCTCCAGACAAGGGATAATTTTACACTGCCTTTGTTATTTATGTAGGTGGCCCACCATGATCCATGGGATAAGTGATGCGAATGATGCAAGCTGCAATTGCATTTCATGTGGGTCCTGGTTTCTGATGTACATTATCCTATTATCCAGAAGCAGAGCAGAAAGACTTGCTCCCTGCCCACACAGAAGTCTGGTTAACTTACTTCAGAGCATATCTTGGGTGTAAACCAACATATATACAGTGCAAATAATTCATAGGACTTGAATCCCTTCATGAGAGAGGGAACTTGACAAGGCAATTAAATAAATTAATGTGATTTTCTTTAGGTCCTTCTGCTTAATGTTATAGCTTAGACAGCAGTTTCACAGGTAGCCCATCAAGAACAATTCAGTCCAAGAACTAATTACAACAAACATTTTAACCTCGGCTAATTTTTTGCAGACTGCCTTTCTGAGCAGTGAAAAATCTTGCTAAGCTCGGACCATGACAAAAGCAGCAATAGCTCTGTGAAAAGACACTATAGGTACAGTTTGTATGGCTGGTTGCAATATTCACTTTGCAACCTGGGCAGATTGACTTTTTGTATCTTGTATATCCCATACCTCAATGAAATTTCTCACACAAGCCTAATTCCACTGAAATATTTTAATGACCACATTCAGCATCAATTTATACTAGAGATCCCACCTACTTGCACAGCATGAAATCTCCCCCTTTTTGTA